GGGGGAGTGGGGAGTGGGGAGCAGGGCGAGGGCGGAGCTCACTCCAGGACCTGGGCGACGATCTTCTCCATGTCGTTGTAGAGCTCCTCGTTGGTGAGCGAGTGCAGCGGCAGGGGGGCGCGAGGCGCGCGCGGGGAGTGCGGGCCGGCGGGCGCGGGCGGCGGGGAGGGCGCGGCCGGCAGCTGGAAGGGCTCGTCCAGGTCCTCAAGGCCCGGCGGCACCGGCAACTTGGCCAGCTCCTCCTGCAGCTTCACGTAATGCCGCTTCAGCGCCATCAGGTTGTGCTGTATGCTGCGCTGCGTGCGCTCGTCGCCATTCTGACCCTCCAGCTCCGTGATCCAGTTGGCGACCGTTTGCATTATTTCGTTACGTTTGATCCAGAAGTGTGTCTGTATCACCTGCGGTTAGAAAATGGATAGATTTATTAAGGAGATCGGATCCATGTACCCGGATGTAAAACAGCACCAGGTAGAAGGGGGTATCGTACCTCCTTGAAGCAGGGCTCGGGGTTGCGCAGGTGGTCGAGCATGGCCCAGCGCACGCATGCCTGGTAGATGTTGGAATTGTACTCGAGCGATGCGTTGCTGCCGACGCGCGTACCGCGGCTGCGCTCGTAGCCCGGCTCGTTGAAGTACGGCTCCGGCACCAGGATCAGTGACTGGATTGACACCAGCACCTGCACACCGTACAACACACTCTTACCGATGTGCCAACAAAAAATAACAAAAGAGGGTAAACAACGCTTGATAAAGATAATGTGATGTCTAATCATGGCGTCAAGTCAGTTACCTGTAGGAAGCTGGAGGTGTGCGCGTTCCACTTCTCCTCGGGGCGGCCGTGCCAGGTGTTGAGCACGGAGAGGCACACCTTGCCGTCGTTGTACAGGTTGGGGTTGAAGCGCACCGAATGCCGGCCCGTCGTCTCCAAGTTGATGAGCATGGGCACGGCGGGGTACTCAGCCGGGAAGTACACGTCCAGGATGAAGCATCCATTCGCGTACGGCGTGTCCGAGGGACCAGTTATCAGGACCTGTAATTATTTAACGTAAATATTCTATCTGCTCATAGCGATACGAAAAAATTTGATTATTTTCGAAAAGTGAGCTGTTGATAATGATTTGTCGAAGTTTATCTAAGTTTTAACACCGAGTGGTTGAAAGTGACAATGGTGAATGTGGTGTACCTTCATGACGTCGAGGCGGTCTGTGTCGGTGCGCACGAAGACGGAGGAGGAGTATGAGAGTGGGAGGCTGGTGGCGAGCGTGGCGGCCTCCTGCGCGAGGCGCTTCATGCGCGCCGGGTGCGCTCGCTCGCCGGCCGCGCGCACCGTACCCTCAAAGTGGTACGGCACCGTGAATCGGTATCCGTTCTCTGAGCACTCTGCTAGCATCTCGAACGTCTCTGCACACATTACATATCGTGAGCTCGTGAGTAACATTATTCAATAGTGTCCAAAATATAAGATCAAAGATCGTTTGTAGTGGATGCTTACCGAATTGCATGGTGCGCATGAGGTTGATGTAGCGCGCCTCACGCGAGGCTCCGCCCAGCGGCCGCGGCACGCCCCCCGCCTCCGCCTCGCCCTCCGACCGGCACATCAGAGCCGATGTCGCCTGATTCGATAACAACAATCATTATTAAAATACCGAAATATGAATGAAAACACTTTAACCTAACTTTTATTATGTACTTTTCTTGTAAATAAGTGTGTGCAAAACTATTTTGCAAATAGATTATTATTGTGTGTATTATTTATACGTGAAAGTACGTAAAGCGACTTGCCTGTATGTCTGCGATGAGGGCGGCGAGGCCCTCGTCCTCCTCCGACAGCTCGCAGTTGCTTGCCGTGTTGAATCTTTGGCTGTACGTCATCTTACCGAATATGTTCTTTTTGCTCATTCTGCGAGGAAAATAGATTCGAGTTAAGTTTTCTTTGTCTATAATATTTAATGAATAAGGCTCGTGGAATTTGAAGCGAGGATTTTTTTATCCCTTTTATTATTCAGACACAGGGAACAATGGCAAGTTGCTGGCAATGTGATAGATAACCTGAGCTTGCTGGCGTAGGAGTTGGTAGTACGGCTCATGAGTGAGAGCAGTTGCGGCACAGCGCGTAGAGCGCCCGCCAGCCGCCGACAGCGCAGCGCGTGCAGGGCGCGCGCGCAGCTCAGCACGCACACATACAGCGGGATGTGTCGCGACATGTCCAACACTATAAATCACAATAAGTCATATTTTACTTGCATATAACACAACTTATTATTAAAAAAAAAACAAAAATAACTCGATTAAATAGGTTTACAACAATCAAGGAGAGAAGACGAATCGAATTAGACATCACTCGTCGTTTATGTCGTTCTCAGTGGACAGGATCAAGGCCACCAGAAAGGAATTTATACACATACACACCAACATTATACGAGTAAAACCACATGAACCTCTTGTCAGGGAAGAAAAAGTATAACAAAACATTTTCTAGGGACGTGATTGAATGACGACAGAGCGCGGCACCTGAGTCATTCCTGAGGTAGGAGCATATGGCGGGCAGCAGGGAACTGTTGGCGATGAGGTCGACAAACTCGTGTGGCAGGTGATGGTCGCGCTCCTCGCCCTCCGGGGAAGGCTGCGGCGCACCCTCCTCCGGCGGCCACCGCTCCCCAGGGTTCATGTACGCCGACAGCACCTGCATACCCCACAAAAACAATCGTTATATTAACAAATTATACGAAACTTGAGCTTTACGCCTTCTACCCCCGCAACGGTTACTCTGATCTCTTCAATAACAACTTCATAGAGCTGACCTCGAGCAAGACAGTGACGTGTTCCTCCTCGACGCGCTGCCGCACGAGCGCCTGCTCCACGTTCCACGACTGCTGCGTGGAGCCAGTGCCGAAACCCGTACCTTTCGCCCAGTACAACTGGCTCTTCTCCTCCGGCTTGCCGGAACCGTTTGACGCCTGACTATTCTGTAATAGTACACAATCAATATAGGACAATTTCATTTCATTTTTTTATATTAGAAAATAGTCGAAAAACGTCGGAATGATGAAAGTATAAAATATTGCAGTACTTACATCATTGGAAGCGGGTTTGTGATGCGTGAATACTGCGAGGCAGGCGAGCAGCAGGCGCACGAGGCCGAGGCGCAGCAGAGCGGATCGTAGCGACCGCCCGTCGTCTGTGTCGGGCGGCGCCGCGTGCAGCAGCCGCGCCAGCACGCGGAACGGCAGAGTGCCCAGCGACCACGACCCCTCGCCCTTCGCCCCGCCCCCGCTGCCACCGCTCACTACACTACCCACGGCTATATTACCTGCAGCAACATCACCTCAAATTGACTTCAAAATTCTAAGCAAGTTAAAATAATTTACTCTTAATTTGCTCATGATTACTTGAAAAGAAGTCTGAAAATTTCGAAAAATCTCTGGAATATCGGTTGATTAAACTTTTGTATCATTATAATCGTAAAAAAAGGAAACTCAGATGTGACCTTTGATGGCAGATAATTCTTTGTCATTGACATTCTTGCTCTTATAGTATTTGTACTGACGTCCGTCCTCGTCGTGCGAGACGCCGAGCAGCAGACGCAGCAGGTGCACGGCGCGCGGACCCTCGTCCAGTAGCGCGGCCGCGTAGCCCGGCAGCTTGAGCAGCGGGCCCAGCGCCACCAGAGCGTGCACGGGCACGCCCGCGCACTGCTCCTCGCCGCCCCCAGCGCCACCGCCTCCCCCACCCGCTCCTGGGCCGCCAGCGCCGCCCAAATCCACTAAGTCCTGCGCACGTTGTTATAATGTATTCATTAAGTTGCTTACGTCTTATAAAAAAATATGTACGTTTAAAAACTAAATAAATACTCTATCGAGGTAATTATATTTTAAAAGTTATATATAACTTGTATTACTTCATAAAATTATAAATATGTAATGATACTGACATCATAGGGATCCTCGAGTTTGACCCAGTCTAGGTCGTGATGATGCGCGGAGGGCGCGGGCGGGGGAACGGGCGGGGCGTGCGGGCGCGGCAGCCGCGCGGCCACCAGCGCCAGCCCGCCGCACTGCGCGAACCAGTGCAGCACGCCCAGCGCCATGCCACCCACCCCGCTCACATTGCTGCCCCCGCTGCTACTGCTGCCGTCCCATGTGTCGCTCGGACGGATTTCTGGTAACAATATACACAAATTTTACTTTAAGTTGTAAAAAGTCTATCAAAATCGGATTACTTTAATACATTTTAAAAATGTGTTTAAATGCAATGAGATATATCATATGGACAGTTGTTACCTCCGTTGGTGTTGAGGTGCAGTATGAGGGCCAGATGCGGACCGAACTTGTGAGGGCAGACAGCGACCAGCTGCGCCAACGTCACGTTGCCCGGCACAAAGCCCTCCAGTCCGGTGGACTGCACGCGGATCGTCGTCTCCACAAACTCTGTACAATGAGCGTAATCGTATCGTAATATCAATATATTAGAACGTTTATATACATCTAGACTTTAAAGTTTGTTATATCAAGTACCCACCTTCAGCGAGGGACAGTACGGAGTTGTCGGTGCTGGGCTTGGACTGTCGCTTCTTGTTGCCCTGCTGCTTGAGCGAGTTGTTCTTGGCGTCTTTGACGCGCTTGTCTTTGGAGGCGCTGGCGGCGGCCAGGCTGAGCTCCCAGGCCTCGGCCACAGTGCGGACGGCGGCATCAGAGGCGCTGCGCCACATCGCCGGCACCGCGTTGCTCAGGCTCATCCTCGTTGCCTCGTCCACTGGAGTCACATCGAAAGTTACACAAATAGCTTGCGTAACCACCACCTACGACGACATACTATGACCGTTCAAGCTGGATAAAAAGATTTAAAAGCAACTCACGGGGAGGACGGTGTTCTGTGAGCAGAGAGCGGATGGTGGTGTGAAGCGGCAGCGAGAGCAGCGCGTGGCAGTGCATGGAGGGGTGCGGCGGTGCGCTGTTGCTGGCAGCCGCGCCGGCGCCTGTGTCCGCGCCCACCGCGGCCCAGCGCAGCGCCACTGTGCCGCGCTCCGACGACAGCACCAGCCGCAGGATCAGCGACCTCGTGAATCCCGATAGACCTTCCGGTCCTACTGTAACGGAGCATAAGAAAATCATGCATATATTAAGAACTTCAGAATATTATGACCAGTTGCTATTTTTATATTTAAATGAGTCAACTAACTTGTATTTTGCATTGATTCGAGAATATTGTGTAATGTCGAAGCGAAGAGTTTCTGATTGGAAGCGTGGCACACAGTCAGTTCTGCGAACAACCGTATGGTGTGCTCCTCCAGATTAGCATACTCCGAGCTCTCCTGCCATGAACTGCAACAAAATAGCTACATTGAGACTCAACACATTACCTTGTAATATAAAATCAGTCATCAGTCTTATCATACTGTCAGGTTGACAGAGGAATGAAAGTGTACTCACGAGGCGCGCGGGCGCGGGTAGCAGAGCATGGAGAGGAGGGGACGCCAGAAGGTGTTGCCTGCCGCGCCCAGCCAGTCCTTGAAGCGGCGATCCACGCACATCAGCCGCGCCCATTCCACTATGTCGCTGATATGCTGCATAGATGGCGCTGCAACAGAGTAGGACGTGTTATTTAAAACTTAAACCTCAACACCAACATATTATGAGAAAATTAATAGTTTGGCTTACTTGTAACGGTTTGGTTCGGTTCAATTTCGGCGTCTTTCATATATACGTCCTCTTGAGTATTTAATTGTTCTTTAATTTGTTGTAGCTTAGTTTCGCTATATTCTGTGAAATATATTACATTTGATAAAAAGGTAAACATAACATTTTATTGGATATCTATATTGTTATTGTATGTCATATTGATATGCGTACCTGCGACGCAGCGCACGAGCGCATGCGGCAGCGGTGAGTGCAGCAGCAAGAGCGTTGCGGCTGGAGATAGAGCAGCCGCAGCCAGCGTGCGCAGCTCGCGCCGCCTCAGTCGTACCGCCGCCGCCGCCGCGCCGCACGTCGCCGCGTCCACCGCTCCGCTACCGCACCCGCCTCCGCTCGCACCCGCCCTTGTAACACGCAGCGGCTGGTGTACCTTGCGGTCGTCTGTTAGTCCCTCCATGCTGTACGCAACCACAGATGATAATTAAGAAAACCACAACGTGTCAATTATATTAAATTCAGTGTACGTTAAAATATGCAAACCGACCTTTCGTCATTGTCTACAGGAACGCCGATGTGTTCCATTAACTTCTTGAAGAGATCCGGCCTTATGTAGCACATTGAGCATAAGACTGGAAAAAAAAACATTTTTTTGGTCAGTTTAGAAAAAAAAACTTGTAAATATTCACATTGAATAATGGTTACTAACTGGCATCGAGTGCTTTCTTGAGGAAGCTGATCTCGTCAACCTCTTGCACCCACACAAACAGCAAGTCGAATAGCTCGTCCGTTATTAGCTCCTCCAGATTGTCCAGCAGACGCTCCTCTTTCAGGGACCATAAAACCTGGAATTATTCAACTTATAGTAAATACTAGTCAATCCTCAGTGTTAAACAGTACGTAATACTGTACAGTGGTATACAATTGTTTACATTATCTGCGACGTTGATTTATTGCTTTATTTAACTCCGGAACTCTCTTGAACTGTTTAATATTTAGTTGTAGCAACTGACCGATGCGAGCGTGTGTAGCAATGCTGCAGAAGGCGCGCGGCGCGGGCGCTGTGCCACCTCGGCCAGCCAGTGCACAAAGGCAGCGGTGGTGCCCTCGGGGCAGCGGCGACACAATTGGCGCGCCGCCCAGCACACCGCTGTGATGCAGGCGCCCGCGCTCACGCCTCCAGGCCCGCTACCGCACATCTGGAACGCTAACGTACAACCAACGTCTTTACAAAGTATACATTAATTGTGTTTTTATAAGTTCATTTCTCTTAGTCTACTCTTCATTATTGATTAAGTTCAGATAAAAAAAGTCCCATTTCCATATCCACAAAGGCATGACTTACAATGTACGTATGCATGTTCATCTGTAGCGAGTATGGCGTTGAGGAGTGGGGCGCGCAGCTCAGGGCAGGCGCGTGCGGCGGCTAGCAGCGCAGTATGCGCAGCGAACGAGGTGTGCCCGTGCGCTTGCGGGCTGCTGCCGCGGGTGGCCAGCACGGCGGCGCACAGCGCTCGCACTGCCGCCGGGCTACCGACGCGCGCCCACCGCGACGACTCCAGCTGAGCGCGCGTGCACGCAGCCACCACGCATACCCAGTTGTTGCTGAAAATTCATATTGATTCTTATCTATTCTCTCTATTAAAATTTGATATTATTTTCCTAATTAGTATATTTTTTAATCAGACTAAAACTATTTTTTTAAACACGGGTATTATTTAACCTGTATCCGTTGGGCGCGTGTATCGTGGGCGCTGCGAATGCGGGAGCGACAATGACTCGCAGCTGCAGCAGGCCCATGTAGGAGCTGTCGCGCGGCTTGTACAGACGCAGCTGCACCGTGGAAGCTACGGCCGGCCGCGCCAGCACCAGCCTTATAAAGGTCATGCCGGCCGTCACCTGCGGTGGTCCCAGCGACACCAGCGGGCCACCGCATGATGCCTCTATGCTCACTGCACCGGGGCACGCTACAATAACATATTTACATAATGCAACAATTTTTATAAACAATTACAAAAATATCCATATTTCTAATATGTTGTAATAAGTACCAACAGATATTTAGGAACTTAGGGCTCAACAGATGAGTGAAATTTTGAGGTATTATAAATTGTTTATGCATATTATGTTGCTACTGACTGGCAAGGCTGGTGAGGTGCGGCTGCAGGTGAACCTCGTGCAGCTGCGCGGCATAGGGCAGTGTTAGCGTGAGCGCGAGCGAGGCATCGTCCGCGCTAAAGAAGTGGTAGGACCAGGCGGCCGCGCGCACGCGTCGCGCCGCGCACACGCCAGCCGACAGTCCGCCTCCGTCCAGCAACACGTCCGCCGCCTGCGCCGTCGGGTTGTCGCACGACACGGTGCCTGATCAACAGAACAATGTTTCAGGTTTAGAATAGACATGTTTGATTATTTAATTTCGATGATTAATGTGTCCTCCCACTGTCGAAATACTTGTACGCTTTACGTATACATTAGGTATATTTTGACCAAAATTTGGTTTAGATAAAAAAAAATGTCTATTGCTACCGTGTTGATAGCAGTAACTAACATAGTGGGGCAATGTTGACAAGTCCGTTGGCGGTGTCGGTGATAGGCGGTTGAGTCTTCTTAGCGCCGGCGGCGGTCGACATGTTGATGATCTGCGGCGGCACCTTCAGGTGGTTCATCAGGGACGACACCAGACCCTGGCTGTTGCTCGGTCCCGACTGGAAAGTTTATCACATTTTAACACATCAACAAAGTGACAGCTTCTGACATTGTGAATACCATACTAAGATCAACATAGGATTTAATGTACACAAGTGTGGACTATAAAAAACATATTCTATGAATCTATCATACCTGATGGCAGGTGGTGAGTTTCTCCACAGAGAGCTCCAGCCCGCCAGCCTCTATAAAGGCAGCCAAGGCCTCCGACTTGTCTAGAAGCTTCACAATCAGTTGCTGCATGGCTTGAGATAGATTTATTACGTCCTTTTTCCCTGTTTAAATAGAATCATGTATTTTTTGTCGCCCATTGTTCGAAATTCAACATACATAGACGAATTTTTTTTCCATTAGTTATAGCTTAACGCATTTTTTCTCCACATTAACTTTAAACCAAGCCAAATGAATGTTTATCCGTTTGTGTGATTATTTTAAAAAGGGATACAAAATTTTTAACTAATTATTTGTCACTTGATTACAAGCAGGGTTTATAAATAAATAATGAATCTTATATTGTTTCACAATCATTAGAATAATATTTTTAATATAACATACTGAGGAAGTCCATCAGACTGGGCACCATAAGCGCCGCGTTAGATGCAACAGTGGGCAGCTGAGCGACCAACCAATAAATTTCCTCCTTCAATGAAGAGAATTCTGTGGAAGATTCAGTATTTGTGCCTGCAATTGAACATTTTAAATGTTAAAAACATAAATACAAAAATTTCATTAGTTGTCGTTAGTAAAATTTTACTCTACTTACCCGAGTTCAATATGAAAGTGTTCAATCCATCACACACTGACAACGTCGCATAAAAGTCTTGCATGATATCTGCTTCTTGTAATACTGAAAGAAAAACAAACATTTTGTACTTTTAAATTGTTAACATTTGTATTAGAATCTATAGAACATTAATTACAAATAGAGTTTGTACAAAGAATAACTGTTGCTTTAGAAAATATTCACCTGCGTCGGCGAGACAAGGCGCACGCGGTAGATGCTTCCGCTCGTCCTCCAGATTGGTGCCATCGACCAAGTCCAACGCCTTGCTCTCGTCTGTCTGCGACTGCTCGCCGCTCTCCACCTATACAAATTGAAAATAAATGTTATAATACAATACGTTGTAAAAACAACAAAGATTAGGTTACAACACACTTTGCTTATTTGACGTCATATAAGTAAGTTTCGATCCGAAAATGAAGTGTTGGAAATATCTTTGCTTGGTTTAAGTTTTAATTCTATATTTTCATTTTTCATTTATCTCTGTGCGTTTTAGTGACAATGTACCTGTCCTTGTTGCGTGCTCATGAGCAGCGGCAGTGCCAGCAGGCGGCGCGCGTAATACAGCAGGTGAGCGAGCACAGCGCGACGCGGCGGCACGCGGCGTGCGGGCGCGGCGCCGGGGGGCAGTATGTCTGCCAGCAGGCCAGTCAGCCGCGCCTCCGCACTGGCCTCGTTGCGCACTCCGCCCGCGCCACGCATCCACCACAAGCTCTGAGTTGCTGAAATCGTACATAAGAGCATTACTAAAATTGCTGTCTAAATTTTCAAAAGAATTCGTTAACACATTGACTTATAATTTTCAATATTACATTGTTGCAATCATTGTATAATAATTTAATAATATGACGACATATGGAATCACTTACCAATAGATCGTATGAGCGGCATGGCGTAATGCAAGTGTTGCGAGGCGAGCGAGGGCACAAGGTCGTGTGCAGCGCGCAGTAGGGCGGCGTGCAGGTCGAGAGGTTGCGCGCTGTCGTGCGCGCGCTGCGGAGCCCACAACGCTGCCAGCACGCGCAAAGCCACCAATGCACCTGCACCGCTGCGCGCCTTCACCACGCGCGTCAGCACAGCTTGCAGCGCACTTGCCGCACCCTGTCCTGCTCCAACGCTCGACCCCGACTGACAACACAACATACATCAAATAAGTAAGGACGCTATAAACTGTAACAAACAATTAATTATAAATACTAGAATTTCGTTTTGAGTTGGTATAGGGTAGGGGGTTGAACTCACGAGATAAGACTCCGAGCAGTTGACAGCGCAGTCCACGTTGACGTCCATCGAGATGAACTTGACGAGGGCGGGCACGAAGTACTCGCTCTCCAGCACGAAGCGGCCCAGGGTCTGCGCCCCGCCTTCCGACTGCCACAGCACACGCATACGTTAATACATAACACCGACGAAGTTATAAAAAGTAACAAGTACATCAGCAAACAATTGAAACTCACTTGTAAAGGTAGTCCCGCTATCCATGCCAAAGACTGCATTGATAATATCCAGCATCTCAAAGATATATTATCCACTCTGTATTAAAATACAAATATAATTGTAACAATTACTGTAGAAAAATAAGTTTATGCCGATTTTCTCGGTGGTAAAGATAATAATATTTATACTGACGTGCAGAGCTGGTGCAATATAGCGGTGACGGTGTCCGGCGCGAGGCGCACTCGCGGTGTGTCCGAGGGCACGGTCGACCACGCCCCCGATCCGGTGGCGCTGCCTGAGCTCCCCGCACCGCCCGCACCGCCCGCGCCCCACGCGCACCCGTTCAGCGTCATCCACAGCGACAGCACGTTCTCCATCAGGCTGCAGTCGCGCTGCAATCACACACATCATTAGTCAACATAAAAAAGAACAAGCGGCAATATAACACAAGATGCAAATATGCCACAGCACAGGGAGCACTATACAATCCGAGTACACAACGCTCAAAATAGGACGTACCTGTTGCGGAAACTCAAGCGCCAGATGTCTGAACACGTCGTAAAGCGTATGCGTCAGCGGGGGATGAGCGCGCAGGGCTGCCGAGGCGGAGGATGAAGCTATGGCCTGGTGGCTGGGTCCCGCTGCGGGCGGTGAGGCGGGCCCGGCGGGCGAGGGCACGGGGCTCATGCCCGGCGACAACGGCGGGGTGACGGGCGGGGTGGATGCAGGGCGTAGGGCCGCCGCCAGCGCGCCGGATGTTGCGGCTAGTAGCCGCCGCGCCAGGGCTTCGCCAGCCGCCGCCACGCCACTCTCTAACCGCGCGTCCACGCACGTCGATATGCTGTCAAAATAAAATTAATCACTACTCATTTTAGGTATCTTTATCAGTTTAGAAAACTATTATATTGTAATTGGCGATTATATCTACTCCTTCAAATATGTCGAAATACCATAGAGCCTCGAACTTTGTAGGGAGTATGTTACCTTGTGTTGAAGTTATCACCGATGGGTTTTATCTTGAATCTCTTTAGTTCCACAAAGTCTGAATCCTGTTTGTCCTCCGTCTCCGAGTCGAGCAACACCTCCAGCTCCGCTACTTGGCTGAGACGATATTCGATAGTTTTCACTGCATCTATTATGGAAACAAGAAATATATTTAAAAATCTTAGCAACACTACGAGCAGATGTGAACAAGTACGAACAAACGCGTGCAAATATTACGAAGACTCTAGGCCTAAAATGCAGCACATTCTAGTATTTTAACACAGATAAAAACTGGTTAAGTATCTAGAGGATCTTTTGTAACATTTAACTTAGTGCGAGTTAGTTTTGCTACTATAAATAATTACGCATAATATGTTGTACTTATTTAAATGTATACCTGTCACGATATATCGAATGAATCTCATTCCATTAACCCTTAACTATTGATTTTTTTAGTCGGTGTCGAAATAATATTCATCGCTGACAACTTTAAATAAGTCATTATGTGATTTTTTTAATATGACATTTGCGTAATAAGATCATGCTTTTGACAAACAGATGACGGAATATACTATTAAAACTGCTGAGATATCTTTAGCTAAGAAGCTTAAAAGTGATTCTAGCAATTTTTCATCGAATATTGTAGGTTTATTTCTCAAATATTTCTATTTAAAAAAAAATTACATTTGAAAAAAATTAATATATGCTACAAAATAAATAACTCAACTGTGTAAAAAGCCATGAATAATGCAATCCAAAAGTGAAATATCTCTCTACCAGTGAAAAAAACACGTGAATTATTAAAGATATAAGGTATTGAGCGACAAGCCAAGTGACAAACGCGTATGGCGCTAGTGTATCAAGCCTTACTTGCGGCCGCTAGTGCGGTTGCGGCAACTTTGGGCTTGGACTTCGGCTTGCCGCTCTTCGACAGGCCAAAGCTAGCCGCTAACGAATCTGCAACAATAGTGTGGTTTCCCCTCTATGAGCTTTCATTTGGCCCTCTATACCATCCACATATAACATCCTTGTGCGCTTTTCACTGATAGTAATCAACCAAATATCATTTATTTACGCAAAATTTTACATTGAAAAAACAATGAACATCAAATAGCTAAAATCACAAAAATACATTCTATGTAACGACTAATGAAAAAACATTTTAGTTTACATGAACAAAATCATTGTTATGACGAATTAGAGTGGCATAGTAACCTGCAACACTGCCGGCCTTGTTCTTACGCGGCGGCGTCCTGGCGCCGATGTCATCCTGAGTGACGGTCGGCCGAGTTGTGTTCGTATCGCTCCAGGTCGGCTCGTCGCTGGTGGGACTCGGGGTACCGTCTAAGTTTTCATACTCGACCAAATCCTGCAACAAATTAAATGAAGTTTAAACAAGACAGATTGCGAAAACGCCATAAATATACTATAAAATATTGTTTTTTTCAGTCAGATAATTTGAGCACATTACCTGCAGCAACGTGATGAGCGCGTGCCTCGGCCACGGCGGCAGCGTGACCGCCAGCCGTGCCAGACCCAGCACGCTCGCCGGCTCCAGCAGGGAAGCGCCGCCGCTCGCAGCGCAAAGTCGCCCCACGACCTACACATAAACATCAACAAATTATGAGTATAACTAATACTTTCTGCCTTTCATATATTGTTTTAATGCTGTGAAAGTATAAATACGGTGTAATACAGTACTTCTCAAGAGAGAAGGCGAGGACCACATATTGCGCAACGCATTTTGGGAGATTGATGACGATAGAAGTTCTTTGTGTACCTTGGCGCAGAGCAGCAGCGTCTCGCCGGAGACGGAGCTGTCGGCGGCGAGCAGGTGTGCGACGAGCGCCTGCGCGAGCTGCACGGCGAGCGCGGGGGGCACGAGACGCGTTGCGCGCTCCATGTCCTCTGCTTTGGTGCTCACCACGCCCCCCAACTTGCCCGACGACACCAATCGAGCTTTGATTCGGTGGCGCTACAACATATCATTACCTAAGATATGACGTTCCAGATCAAGATTTAAACATTGCTAACAAACGTTAAGTTTATGCCTGCCATTAATTTATACGAAGTAGTTGCCAATGTCACTTTTGAGTTTGTAAAAACTTTGAGAATACAGACAGGAATTTAAGTGCCATTTAAAGCCGCAGAAAAATAGTTCAGATGATATTGAAGCAGCTATCGCATCTGAAATTGTTACATAGAACAAAGTGTCATTGTATAAAAATTGTAATTGCTAATTTTGAAATTTAATCATTTTAGCGTGAAGTGATGTACCGTTTGTTAACAATGTTCAGTTCTTGATTTGAATAGACGGTAAACAACTAAATGGATAAGATCCCATTAGTTTATTCGTGTTCCCAAGCATCTTGAACTCCGGACATCAAACACTATTATTTTTGAAAAACAAAATGTTGTGCTTCGGAAGTTCGGCTTATTAGCGAGCCGAAATGCCACTATGATGCTAGGGAAGTAGGAACATAACCAGGTATGTTTGTCAACGTAGCTGGTTATGTTGGAATGAAAGCCTTACAGCGCGTCGCACCGACTCAATCTCGTGCATGTGGTTCAGCAGCTTCTTGTGCAGTTTGCGGCGCGGCAGCTTGCAGTCGCCGCGCTCGCCAGCTGCGTCCGCGCCGCCCGCCCCGCCCGCACCCGCCAGTCCGCCCGTCAACCACTCCCATCTGATAACATACGCTTCGCTTTAGCTATCTCACATTATTACACTAAATGCAATGAGAACGTTTCATTATTGTAACATCACCAATAACTTTATTATGATTTGATGTGAGTAGCCAACAAAATGTTTTGAGTTGGAATGGTACGTTATTATGGTAGGGTACCTCTTGAGTCTCTGTGCGGCTGGCGTGGCGTTGGCAACGGGCATGAGCACGGTGTTGGGCGGCGGCAGCGCGGCGTCCAATACGGAAGCCAGAGCGGTGAGCAGCGCGATCAGAGGCGCGGGTCGCGGTTCAGACGCGCGCAGCAGGGTCAGCGCTCGTTTCGCCAGCGCCGCCGCCACGCCAGTGCCGCCCGTCTCCAGGTGCGCATACATGCTCTTCCGGCACATGTACATCACTACCACTAGACATCTGTACAGTCACATTAAACATTATACACACAAATATCTAAACTTTAAAAACAAGCATAAAATTGTGATATACTTAAAATGTGATGGTGTAATAGTAGGAGGAGTAGATTACCTATCGAGTGGCCTTGGCGGTGCGTCGTGCGGCGAGAAAGCGTCGCAGAGCAGGTCGGCGAGGCGATCGCCCCACCAGTCGGCTGAGCCGCAGAGTCGCGCCAGCAGGGTGCTCAGTGAGGCCGCACCGCGCGCGCCGCAAGACCACAGCAGCGACGACACACACGAGAACCACTCACTGGATACCTCCGGGAATTGCTGCACAAAACACATAATTTTGTCTTAAAATAATCTTTGCTCAAATACAGGTTAACCTAGCTAAGGAGCAAAGGCAAGTATATTGATGAAATCATTTTAGTATGCAAAAAAGAATCTTTATGTAAAGAAAAAAAAACTTACCACCTCGTCCATTTGGAAGACGAAGTAAAGTAGCATGTCGACAACGTTCTCTGCGATAACGCGCAGCTTGTCTGTGGATGCGCGCAGCAGTAGGTCCTCCGCAGTGACAGCGCCGCGGTTTATCATGTCGAGCGCGCGCTCGTTGCAGTCAGCGCCGTTGCTGAGCTTGCGCAAAATGTTGTTGCAGTTGTGCACCTGCTGCTGCAGCTCCATGCACTCCTGGTACGCGGCGACCACCTTCGGGTCCACCTCGTTGGCCAAGTTGAAGTACGCCATCATATTGGCAGCGTTACCGTTGTACATTTCCAGATATGGATTCAAGAGATCAATCAGTTTTCCGGTTGCCAACCTGTTTAAAACACGTTTTGAATAAACATCGTTTTCTTAAATTCGTTCTTGTTAAAACTATAAAATGTATCGTTAACTTATTGTCTGTTCTTTAATAATCACCTAAACCTGCAGCTAAGGTCCTGGTGCAGGGCGTTGAGGGCGTTGATGGAGGCTTGCACGTTGGGCACCTCCGCGATCTCGCCGTAGAACCAGCCCAGCGGGATCTTGCACTTCATCGCCGACATGCCGTAGCGCCCAATTGTCGTTATCTACAAACATTATTTACAAATTCAATCTCTTTAATTTCTTACTACCTCTCTATCAGTGAATTCTTTAGCAATATGACTAACAAACAAGCGGATTCTTAAATGTACCAAAATATGGTAGACCATATTATTACAACAAAGCAATGCAATACATTTCTATGTCAATAAATTAAAAAAAGCAGTAAGTATACATTTGCTATACCTTCATGTATCTGCAGAGCGGCGGCGGCTGTATGTCAGTGAGGACGAGGTGCTTGGTGGCGATGTCGGAAGCAAAGGCGAGCTTCACGCAGTCCGTCTCCTCGCCGGCCACCCAGATGTCAATACACAGAGTCACCAGGTCGGAGCACGACGGGATTATCTAAAAATTAATTAATTCGGTAGTAAGGTTTTAAATCGTCTTTAGTTGTGAAATATAGCATTTATGTTGCTATTTGACTATTACTTTGCACCTAATTATTACAAAAGTATCTTGTTTATTTATATTGAACAAAAATTAATTTGGTTTTATTATTTGCCCTATTTTAGGTATATTGCTTCATTCTCTGCACTCATAACGGAAATTAAAAATAAACCATTTGTGATAGTAAAACTCACGACATCAGTAAGTCGCACGGTGTGTCCAAAGTCTAGTACGATGTAGCGGCGAGCGCCCGAGTGCATGCGCTCCACCACCAGCGTGTGCTGCGGCGGCTTGCTCACCAGCGTAGCCCACGGGATGCCGCACTGTTCCTCCTCCTGCTAACAAAACAACATTTAATACTATCTGCCGCACAGACTTCAGTATTCCCTAACGACGGCCCTTAGTCTAGATTTAGTACAACTATCGAAGGACTATGAATGTGGCAGTAATAATCTTACTAAGTATTTATCTTTACTTCAGAGGTAAATGCAATTTACCGTAAAGAAGTTATCCCCCGGCGTTTCGGGTTTGTCTTGGGGGTCGCACTCCATCATGGAGCTCTCCACGTCGTCAAGGGAGTCGGGATCCTGCGACTGCTGTTTGCCATGCCCCTCCTTCACCACTGTCCATAGCTGGACATGACATAAATTTTTTAATGATTAAACCGAAGAAATATTCCAATACACGGAAAATAAGTAAAATATGTAGTTAATTGGATTAAGTATTCGAAGATATATGAAAGTGGATAAGACAAAAGAGGCGTGAGAAATTTTAGCAAATCACGTGTCGTGTTATGTACCTGCTGTGAGTCGGTGGGCAGCGCGCTGACCACGGCGGGCTGGTGTCGGGCGACGACCGACTCCAGCTTGGTGCCGTCAGAAGCCACGTAGCTGGTGACATGCAGCGCCAGCGCCTCGCCCGCCGCCACGCCGCATGCCGTGCTCGCCGGACCGCTCGCCCACCACGCGCCACTCGACGAACCATTGCTCTTACCTTCTAACACATATACAACAGATTCATGATCATTTATTCCATGAGTAGTATGATTTAACTATTCAAATTTAATGGTACTATTACTCTTTCTAATATACTTCTAATATGCAAGATAGTAACTTGTGTAATGGGGAGCAACTGACCGGTGTTGATTGGCAGATTGAGCAGGTCCTTGAGCTGGTGGTCGGGCCTGATGATGGGGCCGGTGTCGTCGCTGCTGCTGGCTTGCGTACTAGCCGCGCGACCTAACTCCGGCACCTCTGTCGTGAAGATGCTGCGCTCCAGCGGTAGCCCGTACAGGCCGAACCTGACAATATCGCAAAATGTCACTTCACGGACGCATAATTTCACAAATTACTATGTGTATGTTAAACTAGCTGTTTTATGTAATAATTCTCAATGCAACAAAAGGGAATTATTCACCTAGCACGCAACAAATGGTGGTAGAGATCGGTGCGGTCCTGGAGGCACTTGGAGGCGAGGTCGAGCAGGCGGCAGCAGTGGGCGAGTAACGCGGGCGCTGCGTGCGGCGGTACAGCGTGCTGCGCCAGTGCCGCCAGCCACTTGAGCGCGCCGGGGGAGCCGCACGCGCCCACGTACGGCACGCACGACACCACGCATTGCGACAGCCGCGACTCGAACGTGCACTTCCACGGCTTCGGCAGCTGCTTCACACCCCTGCATCAACAAAAAGGATCTTGATATATCAACATCGTAATAAAGAACCAAATCGTCGCTAATCAGGCATTCAAAGTTATTGTCACTGTAATTTTTCTTTACCATGCCATTTCTAGTGTATTATTGACTGTTTGCGTAGAAATTTAAGAAATCAATTTCTTGACTTACTCGCTGGTGATAAGTATAATTTTGATGCACTTCTTGGCGATGCTCCTGTTGGCGCATAGGATGCAGTTCTTGACGAGCGCCTCGATGTGCTTCTCTATGACGGCGACGCACTCCAGCTGCTGCGTCTCCACTGGGCTCTCAGCCTCTTTGTCCTGGCCCTTTTCCACCAGTCGCATGCGTTGTAGTCGTACAGACAGCACCCAGTTCAGGAGATCCAGAGCGAGTCTTCGTTCCTCGTTACCTCCCTTTTTTGTTGCTATTTCGCAAAGCGTGTCCAAGAACGTGTTGGATTCGAGCATAGCGATCCGCTGCTGCTTCTCCATCGGCAGCTCGGTGTGTGGACTGGACCTCACCGTTATCGATATCTGATGTAGCCAATCGCAGCCGATGAAGCCTGTCTTTTTGGAGCTCTCGCCAAACTTGGTCGGACCTTTCGTCATGTCCTTAGCCGGATCAAACAAGGTCTTAATATGAATCAAGAACGTTCTGCCTCTCGCTCTAAACAAGCGCGGGCTGGTCAGTATCAATGTGCCCGACTGCTGCGTTAGGTCCAGTCCGGAGGAGAGCAGTAACGGCCCCGCGAGGATCTCTGCGTTGTGAGCCTGGAGGTACTCCTCACTATTGACGGGGTTCTCTATGTTGGGACCGTCGGAGTCCACGACAGGGAAATGGACGGGTGAATCGGCTCGCTGGCAGAACGATGCATCCTTTTTGTATCCAACCCCGTGCAAATTCTGCTTCAATAAGGTGACCTGAATCACGGGCAAATTTCCCGTACTGGCATTGTGCAAAGTGAAACTAAATTCTATATGTGCAAGTGAGACGCTGTACGGCATAGTCAACTCTAGCACGTGCTCATCCCAGGTAGAAGATGTATTTTGCAGTCTCCAGCATCTGTTGTTCTGGTGATCGGATCTCGACCTTTGTGCGGGGGACAATTCGCACCAGAAGCCCGGCACCACGGTGCTGTACGGTACGGTATCGTTGGAGCCGTACATACCGCTGAGCGTTATTAACGTTTCTAAGTCTGTGATGTTCAACTCGGGCTTGTTAGCTATGATAACGGGAGGGCTGGTCGGCCCGCTCAACGACTCGTACCACAGCATATCCAGGTCTACATTAGAGTAATGGTCTTCGACTACGGCTCCAGCTGAATCTTTCTCCCCGTCGTTGAGGGCGTAGAAGTAGATCATGCCTTGTTTGGTGGCGACGCTGAGCCGCTCCACAGAAGTGCAGTACACGACCGACGTGAACTGACTGTTAGGTAGAGATTTTTCAGACAACATGTTGAAATCTGACATTGAATACATTCTTAAAGTGCCGTCCACCCCGACCGCTGCCAGGGAACATTGGTCGTGTTTATCGGCAGGCATGAGACATAAGTCTACGGGGCTCTCATTGTATGGTAACTCTTTAACTAAAACGGGTTGATCGTCCAGGGTGTAAACGGAGGTTTTCTTGTTAATTTTGTAAAGTAAGAAATGAGCCTTGGAGTCTTTTACTGTGCTGTCGATTTCGCTCTCGTCAACGTCCATGTTCATGTCGCTATTGCCATCCGCCTCGGGCTCCGGTTTTGATTTGGCTGATTCGATGCCGGAAACGACCACTAATAAATGTTCCTTGTCCTCGGTCGGCAACAGGTGCGTTATTTTAGAAGCATCATTGATGTCCAAGTTGGTCGGCAGGCGGAGGCACTGCACAGCGACGATGGGATACAAAGGCTCTTCCTGGTTGGCGTCGCTATCGAAGCCGTCGTTGTTGCTGTTACTGACGGCGGTCTCCGTGCCAGGTTTACATACAGTGAACGGGGGAATCTTGATTTTCTCAATACCTTCGCCGTCTTCGTACCATTTTAAATCTGATATTTCCAGAGGTCCATTCATGTTGAAGTAATGAGTGATGGTCGGCGGAATAGTCGGCGGACCGATTTGAATCGCATCGGGCTGATCGGCTAATTTGGTGCCAACAGAGTCCAGGTTGCCGCTCTTCCAGCTTTTGAGCTGCGACAAATTCCCGACGAAATCAATGATGGTCGTCTGTCCGGGCTCAGGCAGCTCGGGCAGCAGTGCACTCGGAGGGGAAGGCGCTAGCACTTTGTAATGTTTCGCGAACATAATTTTCTTTGTGTCCCAAAATTTGCAGATCTCTTTGCTGGACGATGCATTTAAATTAATAACGTTACTAATATGTTCATCTAATAAGTTGGGGCACTGTGGAAGCTCGGTCTCCTCATCGGAGTACTGGAAGTATATCTCGTCGTAGATATTGCCCTCGTCGGTCCTGGGCACCGGCAGGAGCGGGATCTTCTTGCTGCCACCGGGCTTGGAGTTGGCGCTGCTGTTGGAGGTGTGGACGACCGTGGCGACGGTGCCCCCCAGCGAGCCGTATATGTCGTAAGTCAGAAGGAAAAGCATTTTCTCGGAGGTCTGATTATTCTTGGCCTCGTTTTGGTCGTTCATCTCTTTAATGCTCTCGTCAGACTGGCTGACACCGCCAGAGTCGAACAGCGCCTTGTTCACGTCATCGGCGAGGGGCTGGTCCTCCTGCACACAGTTGGTTCGTGTGACGATCACTGCACATACGAGGGAGGGCTTCGACTTGACACCGCTCGACTCCTTCTCGTTAGCTTCTGTGCTTTGATTTTGCTGGTATGTGGCCTGTTTCGAGGTCATGCCAATGAACGCCATCGCCGTAAGCTCGAGGTCGTATGTGGCTGCAAAAAATATTATAATTTAATAAAATGACAATTTGCAATATTTTACTTCTACAAATAATATTATTTTCACAAAGTGAATACATTAAGTCATGATAAACTACTTACATGAATCCTTTTCCAGGCTAGCGGCCCAAACTTTATTACTTTCGGTGGCCAGTATTCCGCTGAAGATGGAGTCGTACGGGGAGAGGTTGACGACATTGACAAACTTGAGTCCGCTATCGAAGCGCCACAGGGAGACCTTGCCCTCAGCAGTGCCGGTGGCCACCAGGTCACCCGTGTTGCCTTTCGACACCACCGAGATGTCAGGACAGGGATGTGCGCATGCAGTCGCATTTGAAACCTAAACAAAACACAAGATATTTTAATAAATACTCGGAAATAATATTAAGACTATTCAACTTTGTATAATGTTCAAATATTTTATTTATTCACAAAAAGTCTGTCAGAACGACGGAGCCAAATTGCACAGACAATGATTTGTTTGATTGTCCGTCAGTATGTACGTGTTGTAGCATATACTGACCGAGATAGGCACGTTGTGCGTGTACTCGCCGCGCACGAAGGGACAGTTGGGCGAGTGGCGCTCGTGCTCCACCCAGGGCTCGTCCGACTTCTCCCAGCAGACGAGGCACACCATGCAAGTGAAGCACATAGCGCGGTCGTCGCCGCTCGGAGACGGCTGGTGGTAGAAGCCCGCCTGCGCCATGCGCGCCGGCAACGCCCACCTGGTCACATCACAAATACCACCACTATTTTATGTCTACAATACCGTTGTTACGCCCAATAGAGGTCAAGTAGTTTAAAAAGCTATTAATCTCCATACAACAAAATTATTAACTTCATATGTCAGATCAAGACTAAAAAAGATAATATTAAAACTTTAGGCTTGTGTATTTTAAAATCGCTTCATATTTTCTACAAGAATCATTGTTGTAACTAACTTGTAGTCCATATGCGGCCACCGCTTGAAGGTCTCTTTCCTCTCGGCCTCGGAGTACATGAGGGCGCGGGTCTCGCCGTCGCGCGCGCTGGGCATCAGCTCGTTGGCGCGCTGGCGCACGGCGGAGGCGATGGCCAGCGCGGGCACGCGTCGGTTCTGTCCCTTCAGCTCGTGCACCACCGCCGCAGTCACCAGACGGAAGGTCACTTGCGGCAGGGAGATCGTTACTGTACTCCACTGCAAAAATACAAGTTAAAATTTCGTTACGGAGTTAATTAAGAAATTAATTTTAATAACTTTCACATAACAATAAATTAACAAACAATAACTATATTGTAAAAACTTTTAGGTGCGTTTTATTATTGACCTACTTTTGAAAATATTTATATAAAAATTGATTGCTTGGAATATTTGCGCATATTCATTCACAAAATGTATATAAAACTGTAATGATTATCTTTGCGAAGTGTATTTGCGCGTTTAAGTCCGGTCAGCTGGGACCGGGACTAATGCTCGGTGGCAAAATTGTCGTTCTCCAACGAAAATCGATGCGACCGTAGCGGACTAGCGGCGAGATAACGAAGCCGAATATAATAACACGGAACTCGGATTGATACTGAAAACTTCAATGTTTGTTCAAACGAAATTGAAACTGCACGATTCCTATTTCTATGGTTACTAAACTTTAACTATAAAATAAATAAAAAAGGGAATATCTTCATATAGCTAAACTAAAGACTTGGAAGACCATTAAAAACTGAGGAAACCAATATAAAATAGATATATTAATTTAAAAGCTAGGCGTATCTATTTAAATTAAGCAAAGACAAAGAAAATGAAGGAAAAGTTATGGACCCAAAAATGTATAGTCACGTTAAACTACCGTTATTTTATGGTGACCTAGTACTAGATACTTTACCTTTTGAGCTTTGACGCCTTTCCTAGTGGGCTCGGCATCGATAGCAGTTTTGAGTGCGTTGACGAAGTCTTGCAGACCCTCGATCGCGTTCACGTCTAGGTTCTGCAGGCACTGGTACAGGATCACCGCCTGACCAAACAAGAATATGCATGTCAAAAAGTTTAGACTATGTAACTTAGCGATAGTGTAAGTTTCTACTGATAAAAAGAATATTTCATAACTTTCCAGTAGTTTTTAAGTTAGTTACATACGAAAAGATAAATTTTCCCTCTTTATAATATTATTATAGATAGAAATATATCTTACTAATATTATTATATAAACGCTACTATTTCGATAGATGGATGAATATTTGTTTGAAAGTATGTTCCAGAACGGCTGAACAGAACCCTACGAAATTTGGCATAGATGACATAGTCTGAACGAACATACAGGCTCCTAATTAATTTTTTTTTTAATTCCGCGCAAACGGAAACGCGGGCGACAGCTAGGACTTTAGTGAAGTTAATAATCTTTCCGATTAAATTAACTTTATTTATTATTTGAGTTAGTATTTGATATACCAAAGACCAATTTAACAAAGTACTAATCTTTAACTCCCTCTCGTCTTCAATTACACCCTCATCATGTCTCAACATTTAATTGCCGCCAAGAACTCTTACCAGTGCGAAACGTAATTTGTTTAGTTATTCTAAACTTTGAAGGTATTTTTAAATTTAAGATATTTATGAATATAATTTCCATTCCTTTGAAATAACTTACGTTTTATGAGACAGAAAGAAAAACAACAATAAACTAGATTGAATTTAAACCACAACGATGCCGCTTCATTGCAAAATACATCGCCTTGGGTCTAATATTAGGATTATGAAAATTTTATTATTAGAAGTTAGTTTATCGTCAAAGAAAAAGTGTAGCTTATTTGAAACTTGAAAAAAACAAAAAAAAATCTAAAACCACATAACATTTATATATTAAAAAGTATACTATGTAGTAACTAACATTGGTAATGAATATAAAACCATTTAAAATTAGAATAGATAATTCAAAATGGATAAATATAAATAGATACGATTTTCCGATAATAGTTTAACAGTATTTTTTATCTACCTCAATAATTAATTTAAAAAAAAATTAAACAAACTCACCACTTACAGTAAGTTTCGTAGAAAATAGAAAAAGTAAGAGTTAAAAAAAAAGTTATAATTAAGTATCCGAATTTACAACCTTCAAAATGCAAAAAACAATCGCGGATATTAATATCCGTTCAAAATATAAAAGAAACGAAGTTTTGAATTAAAAATTCATAATTTCACGAAAGAAATAAAATGTGTAAAGAAAGTATCAAGAACGTTTATAATTTACAACAAATTACACTCACACTCTAAACACTGGCTGATGACATATGCCACTTTATGGTTGAAGTTAGAATTAATTAAAAAAAAAACTACCCACCGACTACCCGTTGAAAAACAAAGTCAACACATAAGGTACTGTAAGTTTGTTTACAACTTACAATTAATAAGTGAACAGTTCAATAGATATATAAATATCGTTGGAAATTATAGAAAAATGGGAGCGCGTAGAATCCACAATACGGTAATTACTAATTTGGTTATATTATTTTACATTAGCTGTAGTCCACGATTCCGTTCGCGAGATCCGTTGTACCGTTCTGGATATATCAAACATTCATCCAAATATCAAATTTTTTACATTTATTCCATCTATAACAGTAGACGCATAGCGTAGATTCAAAGAGTCTAATGAAATTGTCAAGTACATTAGCAAATTCGTCTAAATTGTTTTGTGTTTAGCTTAGGAACTCTACCTGAGAAACAGCTTAAGTTAAATATATAAAAATATTCACAAATACTTAATTAAATCTATGCTATATAAATAAACAAATACGTAATTTCATAGTGAAGTTGCAACATGTTGCATGAAATATCGTGAATTTCACCCGCATCTATCGTATCTAACGTCGCGTGGTACTTGGTAGATGACTAACACATCTGCATAATGTAAGCAATTCCAATCGGCTTGTCAAGTAATTATTAACCAATGTTTTATTCTACGCATTGTTTCTGACCACGCCTTTAAAAATTTATAACCCTTCGTATAAAGTCACGACCTAGGTTTTTTTCCCTTAAACGCATTTCTAGACTTTACTATTAGCTAATAGAAGAGTTTCGTTAAAAAATTAAAACAAATATTGAACTCATATTTTTCTCGTCATACGACTGATTACGAAACATCGGGAAAACAAGAAAATTTCCCTGATGCGTAGTAAGGAAAGCAACATGTATAAAATATTGATTGACGCTGAGAGGCCACGTATGGAAACGAAATATCGATATCCCAACATCGAATAATTATCGATATGAAAATTTATCGATTTTTTTAATGGTGAGAATAAACAGTGACAACGCACAGTAAACATTAAAATGAAGGATAGTTTCCAATTAAACAAATCACTTGTAGCTTATAACTACATTTTCTATTTTCTTTTTTAATAAGCTCAAAGGTATATAAGGCAAATAATAACATCAGTAAACTCAATCGAATTAGAAATTATTTTTGTCTGCCACTATGATCAATCACAAAAACAAGATAAAAACAGCTCTTCTTAGACCATACCATGTCACAGCTAAATATATAAATATAATATTCAATAAAAAATAAAACATATAGCCTAATTTAACAATTCTGTGTTAATATATTTCGCCACCTTAAGAGGGGGGGCTTTAAGCATACCCAAATTAAGGGTGATACAGCCATAGTCCTGGGTTGTTTGACTTCGTACACATTTTTGAATTTATTTTACAATAAGTAAAGATTGTGTCATAATGGTTTTTTATCACCGTAATTAGGAAAATGTACATATGAAATTCGAATATCAAACACACTTTGGTTCATGGTGGAATTTAGATCTCCATGTTCTGAATTGGTCCGATCAAGTGATATCAGCGACTTAGATGGTCTTACATACTCATGTCCTGAAGTAAATTCGATCTTGCTATCATAAATAAAAAGTGGCAAAATAAGGCATAAGTTTACAGGATTGTATATCATTTATGTTAAATTAGATATACTCAATACTGGACATATTTTTTTAACCTACTCGCCTCACAAATGTAATATTTCTTCATTGTGCGATAATATGCAATCTCTTAATTACGATCACAAAATCTTAACTACCATGTTCATGTGAATGTAATATAATTGTATAAAGTAACTTAAACTTATAAATCAGTTCAATTAGAAAAACTAGACATCCCAAAACTAAGTTACATTATCAAATTATGTGTATTGGTTATCATCAATTTTCACTATAAAGACATTGATAGAAAACCATAAAAATTGTACAACACAGCTCAAATGTATATGATAATTATTAGAACATAGTGTCCTAAACACGCTAGCTAAATATAATAAAGTTATTCTTAAATTTGAAACGAAATGGTGAGTTTTAATATTATTACTCTTTATCTCTCGCTACTCATTTTGCATATTCATTGTGATAGTTGACATATTGATTAAAAAGGCATATTGATAGGTGTACCTCTGAGAGGACGAGTTCGATCTTTACGACGGTCTCGGGCTGTGGAGAGGGCAGTCGGCGCTGCAGTGCTGTATGCAGCAGCAGCACCCCGTTGTAGTCTGTGCGAGCGCCGACACCACTCCTGTCCCATAACAACACACGGTCCGCTCCTGATGCATATTCGACGCCGACAGTACCGCCTTCATCTAAAATTAAGTTATAAATCATGATTTCTAGAAAATCAAATCCGGCAGAATCGTAATTGTTTACTGAAAACTGTCAAATCAAACAATGTAGGACATTGAAAAAATTAAGTACGAAAATCATTACTACAACAAAGATGGTGAGGAATCACTTATTTTTCGCTATTTGCAGATTGGATTCTATTTATATGTATTGTTACAGAAGTATCTGAGGCTTTCTTACTTACCCGCTGATAGACAAGATGACTGAAGTATCACACCAGAGTTCACATCCAAAACGTGTACACCACCCACGTCAGTCTTCACCAAAATTATATTTAAGTTACTATGGTACGTTAAAGAAGAAACAGGAAAGTTCATACGAATATAACCATCTTCTCGTAATATCAAAGAATCATCGCCCATCGTGGCCGTGAACACATCTGTCTATTCTACGTAAACGCCATTTGTAATTATATTTTTTATGTCAAATACTTTATCGACAACATGGCCAGAGTCAAAAAGTAAAAATCAATCGTTACCGTTTTCATTATCTGTATTGTCTCTACTTAAGAATTAAGAATATATAATTAAAACCTAAGAATTTTCCAAAAAATATTTATTACCTCTATTTTAATGCAATTTTATGAAGCAAAAATATGTTTAAATTGTCTTGTTCATAATCAAAACTTTTCACTTCTTTCTATCTCAAATGACTTAAATGTTACACGAAAAAAAGCTAACGGCGTCGCTAAATTCCGTATTTACCACATTCAAGTACTAATAAATATGTAACTTTTTAATTTAAAGGATACACAACATAAATTTTAGAGGATGTATTTCTATACAAAATTTTCGTTTTTTTTTCAAATAATATGTCTGGCAACTCACTCCTAATACTTTGTGATTATTGCTGGTGAAAAAGAAGTGGTGGAAAAAGTTACTGTTACCTAATGATGGTTACCAGGGCTTACTAATCAAGGAGATTTAAGGCCTGTCCACAGGAGGCGCCTGGCTATCAGCTAAGAGTATTCGGTGACCTGAGACTTATTTAGAATTAAAAATAGTCAATCTATGGTATTAGTCAAATCAGTAGGAATAAATCGCATTACGTATAAATCTATGGTTCATTCATTGAAATATGTTAACAAGGACATCAAATAAAAAAGTTATGAACATATATAAACTTTATTATAAAAATTGTATAAAACATGTAAAAATATAAATATTTAAAAGAACTTACATACTATAAATGTAAAGGGATGGATTTCAAGTCTTTTGTTATTTTTAGATTTACAGAACCCTTATAATGTAATTCCAATTATAATTAATCAGTTATATTTAACAATGAGTATGTTCTTCACAACCTTGATGTAGATTAACTTAATTATTTAACATTACTTAACACTTTAAGATTGTTAACTTCAAGCAGACATATTACAAGTTAGTACTAAGAAAAAATTAGGATTATTAATATCATAACTGGTCACAAAACTAAGCACTTTAAAAAAAATCATAGCATAATAGGACGGAATTAGATTGACATTAAATACATATTAAAATAAATAATTCACGTACAAAATACTATAACAAAACCATGAATTCATTTGTTAAAACATCAGTACAAAATATTCAATCTCATTTGTAATACCAGAGACATGTTTTTATGCAGATATGTTGACAGTACTTAAAACCATAGATATTTAATTTATAGATACGTAATCCAGAGTACTAAAATTATGCGAAAAAAAGTCTCCGAAGTTCTTTAGTGTTCTTATTTACAATACAAAATGCCATTTCAAAAAATCTCGATAGACGTCAAACATGTAAGAAATATAGGTCTGTGGTCAGAATGTATCTATGGTTAAAACTCCCAAGACTCGAGCCACTTTAAGCCGGACATAGTGGAGTTGGGCTCGTGCGCTAAAGGTCCGGTCATGCCGTACGCTAGTGGAGAGAACAGATAGAAGCTGTACACCGTAGTGGAGATGACGAGGCCCATCGCGCACTGGTACACGCTCCGCCCCAGCTCGGGACTCAGGTAACTCTTGATGCTACGTAACAGATATTCTGTTAATATACCTGGAATAAAAAAGTTACAATATAATTCAGGCCTGTAACTCCATTATAACAAAAAAAATATGAAAAAAAATTTTTTTTTTCTTTTTTTGCGGTACTAGCGCATTAAGTCTTCTGAAAATATTTTTTACAGTTCATTTAATTTATAATGAACTTTGTAATTACCTTGCACTTAGTCTTTGTGATATGCCTTGCCATTATGATATTCTGTACTAGGTAGGGTACACAGGGGAAGAGTTTATCTTATTGAGATTCTTATTTTTCAATTTTTAGTATATAAATAATTTTAATTATATTTTTCTAATGCTGACAAACCTGTGAGCATAGAGCTGAAGACTAGTGCAGGGAAGTAATGGTGGAAGTAGAGGACACGACCCATCGCCCAGAAGGGCACGTAGTGTAGCGCCCACCCCACGAAACTCCACCCCGCAGCGTTCAACAAACGTCCACCCACATCACCCCCATCTGTAATATACAAATTATTTTTTTAATATCAAAAAAGTGTTAAGCAAAGCCTCTTTATTTCGCTAAAATAGCGAACTGCACACTGTACTGCACTGCATCAACATCTGCAATAGGGTGAAAATAATATCTTGTAATTTAAATGTTTTTTGTAAAATTCTTTTTTCTTGTAATTTTTTTTTATTTGCAATAGAAATAAAACTTTTTAAAAATTCTCGTGAAAATTTAATTATTACTGTTGTGTCTGGTCTTACCTTGAACAGGAATGCCAAAAGCCTGTGCTCTCTTCTCTCTGATAGAATTAATGATGTAGATAAAAAAGAAAACCACCAAGAAAATAAGGTTGCTCCACCAGACTACAGGGTTGCCAAGCAAATATACTCTGTGGCCACTGCCAGAGAAAAATTGACCCTGGGGAGAAAAATATTAAAGTGAGTAACAAAAACGAATAATATTCTACATTGCGTACATTACTAATGATATTAAATATTTTTCTTTTAAATATAAAAATCCATTTTAATGACTATGTATGACGTCACAATATGGCGCGGGTTTATGCAATCTCGTTAATTTTATGTCTTGGCGTATTAAAACGTCTTACCCTGTAATTGATAGGCCACTGCCAGGGTTGTGATGTCACCTCCCCCTCCTTTGGCTTGAGACCAGAGTTGCCTTGGAACATAACTGCGTGCGATTCTATGAAACGTTCCAAGAATCCAGACGCGTACGCATCAAAACTTACCTTGGGTACTGCAAAAGAGACAATCCAATGTAAGTTGACCTCAGATTTGTTAGGTCAGTCATATAAAAGAAGGATCAGCTTAGCTTGGACAAAATCAATGAAAAACGAAGATACGATCAAAGTCAATTTTAAAAACGCATTATTAAATATTGCAATAACATACTCACAGTCATCAAACAAGTTGTCTTCAACATTCCAAAGTGCGTGCTTGTCCCTTAAGTTGGGATTACATGCCACCTCTTGTTGTTCGTAGCCCCACTTCGGCAGCTGTTTGCCAGTTGTCGTCAATACACATGTCTGTGTAAAAATACATCGTCGTAAGTATAAAAGTTCGTTTCCACTGTCGAAAAACTTATATGAAACACAAAATTTTTGCAATATGTTGTAAAACAAGTGTGACAGCAGTGGAATCTCGTACTAAAATAAATCATAGACTAAAAAGAATTGTTGGTAACTTACTTGTAAATAATGTACAAACATCAACTTGCTCCGCACAGTTTGTACTTCTTCCCCATCTTTCCCTCCGGAGATTAAAATCTTCCATACATCGTTGGCATCTCCTACACCATCCTTTGTGTAAAAAGAAAATATTAACATAATGCCTTGTTTACATTAAGCCAGTACAGTGGGACAGAAGCGCTCAAAATCAGCACTGACATACAACTGGCATAATGTAAACACTATCTGGTACCAGTGAGCCAAAACAGTCCTTACCAGGTTAACGCTACTGTCCTATTATACTGGCATAATGTAAACCAGGCATAACTTAGTATTCATTTTTATTTGTTTGCACTTGTAATACGCAAGTCCTGGGTTCGAATCGCGCCATTTATCAATATTCTTTAATCTATATCTCTATATATATATATACACATCTATATATAAAAGAAAGTCGTGTTAGTTACACTATTTATAACTCAAGAACGGCTTTACCGATATGGTTGAAAATTGATGAGGAGGTAGCTTAGAGCCAGGAGACGGACATAGGATACTATTTATTCTTTATTCTCGAATTTATGTCTTTATGGTTTTTATTTAACTTAGCGGACGAAGTCGCGGGCGACAGCTAGCATTAAATAAATTTATTTAACATGCAACAGGCAAGGAAAATATCATGATGCTACACATGTCTACGAAGAAATTCAGAAAGCTTACCTCTCCATACCCCGTGACTTGTAGGTACTTGTGTGAGAGAGGTGCTCGTTCCCGGTGCGAGTGCAGGTTGCGACCAGTGGCGGCGTGCGTGAGGCGCACCAGGTCGCCGCTACGCACTGCCACTGCGCCACCAGACACAGCTTCCCGGTCGTAGGGTTTCACCACCCACCGGTTGTTATCATCTTTATGTGTGTACGTTGTTATCTATTGTGGGTTTAACGAATTCATTCACTAACAAAACACATTACATTACTTCTTACAAGTGCGTCAATGATAGTCGCTTTCGACAGCAAGTCTTACTAATATAATAAATGCGAATGTTTAGATAGATGGACGTTTGTTTGAAGATATCTCCGGAACGGTTCAACGGATTTTGATGATATTTGTTACACATATAGAACATATTCTGAAGGAACACATAGGCTACTTAAGTTTTTTTTAATTCCACGTAGACGCAGCCGCGGGCGACACATAGATAAGTCATGAAACGCCACAAATAGTAACAAAATTTAATTTTTTATTTTAATAGTGCGTGTAACACTTTCTCTATTATCTAAAGATCTACAGTTAACACTATCAATGCCATCTCAGCCTACGAGTCCATTTCAGAACATAACATTATATCGCATTGAATGTACCAACCTGCTGCTGTCGAGCCCCCACTCCTGCGGGGTAGAGATGGTGGTGAGAGTGCAGGTAGCCGCCACCAGTCCGGTGGTTCTTGAGTGTGACGAGAGCGCCGTATGCCACCAGCCGCGGCGCACTCGCGTTGTGCAAACTGTTGCCCTCCAGACGCGCCTGGAAACCCGACGAGTAGAAACCGTCGCCGTTGCCACTACAATGATAACACAAAAACTAAGAAAAACATATTATACTCATAGTCGTTAAGGAATCCCTCAGAATTGTTTTAGAATGAAAATTCTTCAATAAGCTCCTGTCTATCTGTGTTTAGCAATATAAAGTAAAAATGTTAACCTTCAGTGTTTGTTCTTACCTTTTGCTTAGCACTGTGAGATGAATCCAGAAAAAGAACACATAAAGTACAATAGGCCAGAGAATTAATGTAAAGGTCCGTCCAATCAAATGTTTCAATGTTAAGGTCTGGAAAAAAATATACGACAATTATCACACACTTTACATTTAAATTCTTATAATAAATCTTAACACATTCAATGCCACCTAATTTAGTAGGTAAAAACTTGCAGGAGCATTTAATGTGTTAACTTTTAAAACTCACCACTGGTTTAGTTAGATCGCCTAGAATATTCCATAGATCTGCGATTGTGCGCAGACCAACAAACAACACGAGGAACAAGCCGACAAACTTAACAGACATTGTGCATGCTAGAGACCACCCCAGGAACAGTTGCCATGACAACATACGAGTGGAATATGGCGGCTGACCTGAATCTGTTAATGTTCTCACCTGATACAATAAAACAAACACTATTAGAAGACTTCTTATAATATTACTCACACACTATCATTGTTTTATTGTAAAAAAGAGTAGGCAATGATAGATTGTAACCAAAAATTTTACCTTAAAAGCTCCATAAATAGCACAGCTCATAAAAAATAGTAGAATAGGGTCTAAAAGAATATATCTGTTCAGAGTTAAATATCCAACATCTGAAAAAAAAACAGATTACCAAAATTATTTACAAAAAACATAGATTTATTTCATAGCTGTTGCCTGCGTCTTTGTCCGCACAGAATTCTACTATATTCTACATTCATGCAAAGATCCATTGAACAGTTGTTCAGGAGATACCTTCTAACAAACTATAATCCATCCATGTATACTTTCACATTTATAATATTAGTAACTTAAACTTTAAGCTCAACAAAGCTCAACAATTTACGGTTTATTTTGTTAAAATTATTATGAAACATCAACTCACCACATAACAATAGAATGGTACCAACAAATGTAGCTTCCACAGACTGTGTCATCTCCCAAATTGACAAAAAGGTTATTGGTACTGTTAACGCTCCTAATGTAGTACAAAACTAAAAGAAAAAAATTATATAATAAAAACCCTAAAAATGATTTCAAACATTTTTTGCATATAATAAGGTTACAAAGAAGCAAACCAAAATTTAAGAATCTCATTCTTCTATTTCTCTTCTTCTTCTTCTCATTCTTAGTATTAATAATAATGTTAACAATGATCACTGTTGCAAATGGATATACTCCTGGCCTATTAAGTATAAAATAATTTATGTACTTACAATTCTCATTCCTTCATATCTTGTACCATTATATTTGTCACCAGGTTTTTCAAAAGGATATTTACCATCATAGCCTGACAGTTTCCCCGAGAGTGCTATTAACATCTGGAAAATATATTCTATTATGTAGTTTTTCTTTACTGAAACTGATTCACAATTACAAGAAATTTTTCAAGTATTTGACAAAAACTATGCTCTTACTGACCTTTCCCAGTGGTGGATGAACATCAAAGAAGAATGTTCTATTTATGTACCAACTAGCCATTTTACCAAAGTGAGTCTCATCCCAACTGAAAATTAACCATAATTATAAGATATGGTAATGTAGATTTGGTAAATATTTAATTTTACTGGATAAGCCGGAACAATCTCATCAGCCACTCTCATTATATTATTCTACGAAAGAACATACCAAACATGATCTGGTTCCAATACTTTATAAAATCGGGTCAAAAAGGTAGCCGCACATATAACACCAAACAGGGTCCACCAACTGCAAATTATTAAAACTTTTAATTTAATATTTTAACTAATTCTTTACATTTGTATTTTATTTACATTAAAGAATTCAAACATCTTGGATATTAAAGTTTATCTAATAATAACTTTATCCCTACCCTTTAATACTAGAATTATTAGACACTTTCTTTTTGGTCTTTTCACACATATTTTTATCTTATTTTATTACTTATAATGAGTAAAGAGAATATAAATTCTAAACTTTCTCTATAACTAAAATAACGGTAAACACAGCAGACATTGCAATTCACAATTGTCAATGTCATTTTCAATTTGTCAAGTTGACAAACACTCAAAAAACACAGAGAAGAGTATGTGCGAATTTCGATATAAGCATATTCATTGAAAGTATGATTGCGATCAATTTGATGAAATTACTTATAGAACAGAATCTACGATGATTAGTATAACAAAATCTATGTGACTAAATTATTTTTTGTTAAATTTCTATAATTTCTTCATTAACGTGAAAAATCTTTTTTAAACAATTTAACAACGCGACTGAACGTTACATTATACTTACGTATCCCCCTTGTCCTTGGAATGATGTCATCTGTCATTATTTTTTGACACAGAGTAGAAATTTTACAATACATGAATTTATAAGATGTTTGTAAATATAAACTTCACAAAGAAATAGATTTCTCATTATTATTTACTCGGTCCTCATTCTTTAAGCAAGTATTAGCTGAGATGGTTGTGTTTTAATCTTACGTCATGAAGGCAATTATTTACGTTTTTTTAACTTTCTTTCTTCTAACGACTTGTTTGGCGGAGTTGAGTGAGGAGAGAAAAGTGCAATTTGTAACAAGTTTCGTTGATTATTTGAATAATTTACCTAATCATGCCTTCATATATGATGACGGTGTCCTATTAAACGCGCAAAAAACTGTGAGTAATCATATTAACATTTTATTTCTAATTTTTATCTAAGGTTATCAGGTCTTCAACTTAAACAACTTCTTTGTATAATATGTAATATCACGAGTGGTCTTTTAAATGCACTACCAATACTAATTAGTTAAATTTAATAAGAAGATAAATAAAATAATCAAATACTTATTATATACAAAAATGATATATATATATATAAATTATTTTTGTTAACATTCATTAATTATTCCAGGATGAAAACAACTATAATATTGAAATAAAAGTTAAAGTTACAAGTATTCATAATCTTGAAGCATTCACATATCGTACTTGTTCTGTCTCTTTGGAAGACAATGGCGGTAGTGAGATCCACATTAATGATGATTACAAATGTGAAGCACCACCTCCTTCTACCACCACAGAGTTTAATGTGGATAGTATAGTGTCTCAAGAAAAAAGCACAACAACGGAAGATGGGACAGAACATTTGCCTGTGCAACTTGATAATGAAGTGCAGAGTAATACTGCGGTGAGTTATATTTTATTTTATTTATTTATTTTTCTAAGGAAAGTATGCAATAAATGATTGTTTTTCTTCTGTCTTTTATAAAAAAAATAATTTCATAACATTTTTATAACTGCTTGATGGCATTTTTTGTCTCCTTTGGTCATTCTACCAGTTTTATAGTTCTTTACTAAGTTAGTAAGAAGATTCAAATATTTAATTCAAAAACAAAAGAGTAACTAGACTTGTTTGTAAGTATTTTTTTATTCAACACATTATTTTAAAGTCAATGTGGAGAAATAGAGCTATTTATGAACATAAATAAAAAAAATATTTGATTTATTAATTATTGTTAAATTTCAACCAATAAGCGGGAAAATAGAAGTAGTAATTATTAAAACTTAAAATATAAATGATGTCTGTACTTTTACCCTTGAGATGTGCCTCTGAGATGATATGCCATGTTAGCCATGTCATATTATTAGTTACAGTGCATTCTAATTTTACTTTTAAATGATATACAAATAAACTTTTTCTTCTTAATAGCACTATAGTCTATTTAATTATCATCATTATTGTTCATTATGTAGTTCATTAGGCTCGAGTAAATTAGTACTAATTATATCATGTTAGTAATTACCAAATGTGCAAAGCACATAAGTTTACTAATATATATGATTACTGTAGTTAAATAATAAGTTTTGTATTAATTTTGAGAAATCTTCACTCTCAAAACCACCACAGAATATTTTGTTCCTAAAATACTTCTACTAAATCTAGGTCTCTACACTGGGTAACTCTTAAAAATTATTAACAACTAACTGTCGCCCGTGACTCCGTCTGTGTGGAATTAAAAAATAAACTGAATAAGTAACCTTTGTGTCCTATGCCAAATTTCAGTAAGATCCATTGAGCCTTTCCGGAGATACCATCAAACAAATATCCATTCATCCATCAAAACATTCGCATTTATAATATAAGTAAGATATCAATTACACACATATTACATTATTACACTAGACAAAAATATAAGTAATTAATATTTAGAGCTAAACTTGACTTTAGTAATATGACATAGTGCCAATTAGCTCCATCCGGAGTAACCAATTAAAACTCTTAAATGGCTTTGACATTTTTACGATTTTATAGTCTGTGTAACATGTCTAATGAGAGGAATATGAGCTGAATGATATCAAGGACATCTCCGCATATGAGTTATTTTATCAGTGTTTGCCTATTTCTAGATAAAAGAGTGAGGGAAGAAATAGGTAATTGGTGATTTTTCGGTCCCTTCTAGTCGTATATCAGAATTATGAAATAATATTAAAGAATCATAAATCTTTTAAAACATACAGTTTGATAAATAAAATTATGTTGATTAAAATGGATTTTAACCTCTCCTTTTCGATTTCCCTGTGAACTTTACGCAAAAATTGCTCCAAAAGATTATATAATTTATTCTAGTTCGGCAACCATGGAATTCATAAAGTAAATATAGTTTACTATAGATTTAATTGGCTGTTATAATTGTTCGGTGTAACTAAACTGCTTCGATAATGTCGGACTTTTAAAATTATGAACATTGTTCGCTTACTTATTTGTAAGCGCAAACCGCGCCTAATTACGCGTGTAAGAATAAAATGATGTATTATATTTATAAAACACACATCACTCAATACAATCGGATTTGTTAGTACCAACCATATAAGGGTGCGTTTACAATCACGACAAGAATACACTAAACTTGTTGCGTCAGACCTCTCATATGACGTAATAACATACTTCTTACTAATATTATAAATGCGAATGATTGGATGGATGTTAATTCATGTTTGTTTAGATAACCCAAGAACGGCCGCACGGATTTCACTAAAATTTGACATAGATGTGGAACATAGTCTATGGAAGAATACATAGGCTACTAATTATGTTTTTTTTTAATTCCACGCGGACGGAGTCGCGACTGTTAGGACATAATAATTTGTGCTCTTTTTTATTCTATTTATAATGCTGAGTATCACCACTGATGACTAATAAAATATTTTGCTTATTTCTAATATTGTAAAGGAATATAAAAATGGTTTTTAGAGTTTAAGTGATAAGGATCTAGAAAGGGATTTAAGCACTAAGTTATTACTCGTCCACATTGTCTGGCATAAAGCTGTAACCACGCGTAAACACCGATAAATCGCTAAAATTGTCACATTTTTTTTCTTTTATGATTTTAGTACAAATGAATTATTGACCATGTTTTTAGAAGATCTTTCTTTATGTTTATTACTGTAGCTAAATCAACGCGTTCTATTATATGATGATAATAGATACATATTTTGTTTTGTTATACCGGTTTAGTGTGATCGCTGGCTTACTAAATGTGCACTTGTAACTTGTTCCTAGAAACCACGTGTATGATGTAATCATTGTTATATTTAATTCACTTATATTCCTTATGTTGATAAATCACATATCAGCTTTATAAGGAAGGAATATAATATCACAACAGTGGTAGAGCCCGTTTTAACATCTTCGCACGAATTGGCCCGGCTCGTCCGGTGAAATACCACGACCACACCGAAAACAGGCGAGAAGTGGGAGCAATTCCGCATTTCGTCTGATGAGTGTGCGTCCCGGATGCCTAATTTAGTCCTCTTTCCCATCCCACCCTTTTTCTTATAAGGAAAGGATGGGAAGTGGATTTTCCGGAGGAGACGATGCATGGAAAGGAAAGCTATTTTCTTTCTGTGCATCCTCTCCTCCGTCGATTATAGGTAGACAGACAACTCATATGCAATTGCGTATGCCTATGGGCAACGGTCACTTCGCTATTTCGGCGATTTCAGGTGGCCGCTCGCTCTTTTGCCACCTTATGACATAAAAAAAATTATCATAGGTATTTCCGGTACCTATGTATTTAAACACAAAATAAATAAGTTTCCTCAGTTCATCGTTGACTATTAATTTTTTATCTATTTATTTTGTTTTTGAGAATAATTTCTTTAGTGCGTATTTATTTTATGTGTCCATGAACTCATTATGATAACACTATGTTACAGACCTATCGTTGTGTAAATAAATCGCACTCATCTCGGTAATGACCAACTAACCTTAGTCATTTTACGAACATGCGTTAAGCATTGTGACTACAAAGTTATTCAAGTTCAGACAGATAGGATATTAACCGATAAACGATAAAAAGGCAATAAATAAAAGAAAAGACAGCTTATTATTCATTGAAGGCTACTAAGTTAGATTCTATAAACGAGTAAATCTTTGTGTTTGATGACTAGGTTAGTTACAACTGGGATCAAACTAATACAGTTATAAACGCCAGCAACAACAATATGTGTTGTGCTAATGACAGGCTTATCTGAGGGCTTAGACAAAGTTCATTCGCTCCGATTTCATAGCGCACTTTAATCATGTACGTTACTGACAATAACTTTTGTTAAGTCAAGTGACTGTCGCGCGCCAGTTTTATACAATATTGAAGTTCGCTATGGAATCGCTTCGAAGCGTATACGACCACACAGAAGACAGGTGTTAAGTGGGAGCAATAGCGCTTTTCGTCTGATGATGTGTAATTTGTGTCCTCTTCTCCTTCACGCTCTTTTCTTATAAGAAGTATTGGAAACAGAAATGAATTTGACGAAGTAGGAGAGGACTAAAAAGATGAAATTTTCTCTTCCGTCCCTACCTCCGTCGATTAGGTAAGACATCTGCAATTGCGGATGTCTGTGGGCAGCTTCGTTTGCTGGTGAATCCAAGTGGTCGCGTGCTTGTTAGCCATCGTATAACATAAATAAAATATCATAAACCCATTAAGATAACTTGAGAATCAAAATTACTATTATTTGTTTAATTATTGAAGTTATAGCAACGTCCGTCTGCACGTTTCAATTGTATGCGTTTATGAGTACATGACTACATTTGACTATGACATGCAATATAGTGTAATGTTGTTTTATTTTCTTTTTTTTATAACGATTGATTTGATATTTCCAGCCACTAACATATTTTATTTGCTCTCAAGTAGACATTTTATCAATATTCATATATTAATCAACAAAGTTTTTATTTGGACAAAGGGGTTATTAACCCATGCATTTTCATGAAGTCATGGTCAACGAGTAGCGTAATGTAATCACGAAGATATCTTCAAAAACGAAAACTTTAAAGCTTTATGATTAGTTTAATCAATATTAAATAACTAAAATAAATAAACGTGAAATAAGTTAAATAAAAAATAATGAAAAAAAAATCGAATTTCTGTAATCGCAAATAAGTATTTAGTCACACACAAACGGGAACATTTATTGAAATAGAAAAAAAAAAGTTAACGCTTTACCGCGATAGTCACGGTGGATGTGACGAATTATTTTGTCACGAAATTTACGTAATGGATAATTTAATTTATATCCTTGTTAATTTCATGGGTAAACTTTCAATATATATTTCTAAATTAAACAATATTGAATTATACGTTTTTACGTGTGAATAAATAACTGATTAAAATGTAATTACACTGTAAAATTCTTTAGGCGACATCTGGAGAACAGTTCATCGCAATACCAAGGGAAAAGCCATCTGCACCATGCATCGGATGTTCCACCTTCGTGAACCCCGGAGCTGCAGGTGTCGAGGAGTTGGCTCTACTGGGCATCCGACACCTCAACAGGCATGAGCCCGATGTCAAGCATGAGTTGAATTCTATAGTTGAAGTGGAAAGGCAGGTTCAGGTTGGTTGATAATAAACAAGCTCTTTCTCTCTCTCTATCTAGCTCGTATCCTATATGTTGATGGGGGCCATGCTTATTTTGACAAATAAACTTACTAATATAATAAATGCGAAAGTTTAGATGGATGGATGGATATTTGTTAAAAAGTAATTTGGCAAAGATATAGCACATAGTATGGAAGAACACATAAACTATTGAGGTTTTTTTTTAATTCAGTGTGAAACGGTGTCGCGGGCGACAGCTAGTGTTTACGTAGAGTAAAAATTATCAGTGTACTTTAAGTTTTTAATAGTTCATTGGCGTAAAATGGATATTTTTTTTTATTTCATATTTGTTTCAGATTGTAAACGGTGTAAGATACATTCTTACGCTAAAAGTCGATTATAATAATTGTACTATCGATGTTGCAGAGAGTTGTACAGTTGTAAAACCATGCAAAATAACTATTTTAGAAAAGCCATGGGTCAGGTTATATGATGGTTCAAAATATAGAGGGATTTTAGCTAATAATTGTACAGAAGAATGGATATTTAACGACAACGGTGAAGTAATACAGGAGGAAAATAAAGGCAGCGATATTGTAAAAGTACCAAAAGATGATCTAGATAATGAAGATGACGCACATAAATCTATTCCAGATTTTGACAAAATCGCCAACACAGGGTCTGTAGATGACATACTTAAAGCTATACATAATTCCGACGTACAAGCTCAACCGTTAACAGAGAAAACGTTATCAGAGGTCGAACTGAAAAAGTTAGAAGAACAAATTATACCTTACAATCAGTTTTCGGATACTTCAACGTTACATGACGATGAAATAACCACAAAACTTGATTCAGAAAACATTAATTCGCAGTCTATTAATAAAATTGAATCTAGAAAAAAAATTATACCAAATTCTAATTCATTTACGTTTGAAAGGGAAGACAAAAAATCTAATACCTTAAACAGTGATAAGAAAAAAGCTATCGATGATTTACTTAATTTTTTTGCATCTGTTGATTCACATTCAAATCAAGAAGAAAAGAGAAGTAAAAGAAATTTAAATTTTGTCGGTGGAAAGCTATCAAAAGACAATAATGATCCAAAGTATAAAACATTAGCGGAAGAAGCATTAGCAAAATATTTACAAATATCTAATGTGGACGAAGAATTTGAAGTATTAAAAATTGAAGATGTTACTGTCCAAGTTGTGTCTGGACAGCTAACTACAATAACATTTCAAATAGTAAAAAAACATGCACAATCTATGTCTCCACAGACATGTGTTGCACAAGTTTGGGAAAAGCCTTGGTTACAGTTCAAAGATATAAAAGTAACCTGTCAATATAATCAATCTCAAGATAAAAGACGAAAAAGACAAATACCTGGTGGTGCATTTGAGCAAAATCCGAATGACCCCAAGTATTTGGAGCTAGCTAACGAATCAATGCAAAAGTATTTAGAAACAACAGGCAATTCGAGGCCTCACAAAGTCGTCGAAGTTGAAAAAGTTACCACTCAAGTTGTTTCTGGTACGTTGACTGAGATTCATTTTAAGATTTTGCCTGCGCAAGGCACGGGTGACGTCATAAGCTGTCTTTCAAATGTGTGGGAACAAATCTGGCTTAAGAAGAAAAACATAGATGTAAATTGCCAAATTGGAGATGGTAAATGGAGATCAAAAAGGCAAGTGTTCGGTGGAAAAACCGAGCAAAATCCGAATGACCCCAAATATTTGGAGTTAGCTAATGAATCAATGCAAAAG